CCAGCAGCGTCCCCGGGGCGCGCGCGGAGGACGGGGCCCGGGGTTGGAGGGGGGAGTGGGCTTGGGCACACATCTTCAAGCAACAGGATGCGTTGGATGCACCGTAGCCATCGCAAGAACATTACGTTATCAATGCAGACATCGGGGACTATCAGGGGATCAAGTGTCATGGTGTGTGCTGGCAGGAGCTGGTGCCCATGTGTGAAGAGGGCTATCGTGGCCCCGGGACCCTTGGTGCAAATTTGCGCCCCCAGAAGTCACAGCGAGAGAGGAGAGAGGGGGAGAAAGAGACAGTCCCTTAAGCCTGCAGGGTTAGACTCGAGCGCTGTCTCGTCAATTTGAACTCCGCTATGCTACCAAAATAAGGATCTATTGTACATTATGTGGCTTCCTTATATTATGGTACTCGTAACTTTAATCGAACTCTTCAATAAGAGGGACCAAGTTCAGAGGTGGAGTTTTGATTCATCTTGGCCCGCCAGGAGCGCAGCGCCGTCGGAGAAGGATTTCATCGGTCAGGGAGGGATGGAGAGAGAAGGGGAGGGAGGGAAAAAGGGTTTGCATAACGAGGTTGAGGTGGAGGAGGGAGGGAAGAAGGGAGAAAAATGGCAGACCGCAAGAGGGAAAAAAGAAAGAGATAAGTATGTATAAAAAGAGCGAAGGCATCGAGGGCGGCACTCCTTGAAACTGCGTCGAGGTGCACGAGCTGCACTGAAGGCCACGCGCGTGCAGATGCAGATGTTCTGCAGTGCATCCCCTGCGCCAACTGGATCTCCTCACCAAAGCAGGCCGGGAACAAACAGAGGGAACAGGCACAAAGTCGGCAGTGCGGTTTTCAAGGTGGTGTGGTACGTCAGCTTCTTTCTCTTGAAGAACCTGGCCCTCTTCGTTTCGGCGGTTGTCAGTGCCGCTGCCCCAGGGCGTAAGACAAAGCCTGAGCGGCATTTGCTGCCCATGAAAGAATATGTTCGAGTCCCTGCCATAAGGTGGAGGGCAGCGGGGGCAAAAGGGCCGCCAGTGCCACGCTGCTGAATCAGGCCATGTCCTTCGCCGCTGTAGCCGGTGTGACCATGTGGCTCGGAACAAAAACGGTGCCTGAGTACCTTTGCAACTACCAAAACCTAGTTTGGAGTGGGGTCCCTATCAATAGCGGGTTTTGACGAGAGCCCACAAAAAGCACGAAGTTTAAGGAAGTCTGCTTCGGGCTCTGCAGAAGCTTCGTGCTGAGCTTTGTTGGGCTCCCGAGGTCCGGCGCCATGCAGACGGGCACTTTCAAGAACGATCTCAACAATGCAGCAAAGGACCCCGGAGCCGCCTTCTCGTGCTGGCACCCTTACGTCCCTGCCTTTGTTCTCAAGCTATCTTAGCCTCTCATAGCTCGCCGTCGCAGGTTGCCCTCCACCTGTTGGCTGTGCCGGCATCCGTCGCCCAGGGGCAAGGCTCCAGTGATGGCGGCGGCAGCAGCATGTCAGGCCAGTGCCTGCTTCAGCTGCTTAACATGGACAGTGGCATCCACGACGTCCACATGCTAATGTCCCTCTGGCCAGCGCTGCTTGTGGCACCCTGAGCCGCATTGAGTGGATGGCTTATATAAAACTTTCAGTCAGTCATTCCTGGACCGGGGCCAACCGAACGTGCTCCGAATTTCAGCGCGTCTTTCACCCACCCAAGGCAGGTCTCGCCGTGTTGAAGGGCGGCTGGCTTGCGGCCGTGGTTGGAAGCAACGTGTTCCTGCCAGCCTTCATCGCCGGATTCGGAAAGTGCCTCGGCGGTCCTTGCAAAGTCGCAAAGCTTTAATTAAGGTTGGCGAAGCCGTGTTTTAGGATTTTGTTTTATATGGATCTGGGCCATAGAGAATTTCTATAGGTGCTTCGGGTTTATAGGGTTCTACGTATAACGTCGCATGGCCTAGGTACCTCGTGGCTTTCCGGCTGCGGCCTGAATCAGAAAACGAGGCCCTGGGCCTTCGCGCTGGGGTAGTCGTTTTGAGGTTTATGGTATATACGGCTTAGGAGTTTAGGGTTTATTAGTTTGGGGTTCCGGTTGAGGTAAGAGCTCGCGTGCTTCAGGCACTGCATCTGGATTTCCTTCCCCCCGACCCGCAGATGAGTTCCTACGTTCCGCTGCGGATCGCAGCAGTGCTGGGTGCCATCGTGGGTTTCTCCGCGCTGAGCGTGTGCAGCTGGATCTACACTGTTCCTTGGTCGACGACGGTCGCCAGAGACACACATTCGCTGTTCAGCTGCCTGATAAGCCCTGTAAACCCTGAGCCAGTAAGCCCTAAACCCGAAGCCGCAACAGGTCAGAACCCGATCGCCGAAGGAGACACGACCGCACGTGGCCTATTTGATTCAGGCAGGTTGACCGGAGTCGTAAACCTTAAAATCCGAAAAGCCTACAGCCCTAAAACCCCTACATTAAAAGCCTAAACCCTAAGCCCCAGAGCTCTGCCAGGCATACCGACCTGAGTGTGCCATTTGGGAGGCCAGCCTTGTCTTGCCGGATCGACCCTATAGTCGTAGCCTGAAGAGCGCTTCCTTTCAAGGGTTAAAGGGTTACCGGTTACCACAAGGTTTTTATTAGGACTGTATGAGGGTTTGGGGCTTTGGGGTTTTGGGTTTGGGTTTGGGGCTTTAGGGTACTTTGCAGCTCGAATGTGTTTGTTCTTCTCTTTGGCACTTCGTTTTCGTCTCGGGGTGAAACAATCGGTGAAGTGCCCGCAAGTAAGCTGCCATGACCGCCAGGTGGAGCGGCTGATGCGTAAGGCCTGCATTGGGGGGCCGAGGGAGGGGTATACAGACCCGCCGCAATGTAGCCGCAAATGTGACCATTTGTGCAGCATCCGTATCATTGGTTTCACATAGTCTGGAGGGCTCCTGGTCGGCTCAAGTGCACATGCAGATTTTCTGTGGGTCAAGGTCATGGTAGGACATTCATGG